CACAAGAACGTCGAATCTGAATCACTTGAAAAAAACACGGGGGGGCTTAACTTTTTTCCAGGTGTATATATCTGTTCATGGACACATCCTTTCAGAGCTAGGGTGCATGGGTCACTAACCAAGAGGCTTCAGGTCTTTGGACTGTCAACGAAAAATCTTTGCATAGCAATGTCCTTGAGCTTCTCACAGTTTGTTGGGCTTTGAATCACTTCCTTCCTCTTGCCAGACATTGTTTGGTGATGAATCATTCCAACAATTCTAAGGTAGTAGACATATCAATCACCAAGGAGCCACCTGGTCAAGATCTCTCTATTTTTGAATGTTGGATCTCCTATGTTGGGCATACACACACCAAATTCATCTCATTGTGTGTCATGTTCCGGGTGCTTTCTCGTAGTGGATTATCTTTCCTGTCCCGACAACATTTCTCCTATGGAGTGGTCCTTAGATCCCATCATGGTCTAGTAGCTTTGCAGTCTGTGAGGTTTTCATCTAGTAGATGCATTTATCACAGCTCTCAATCACACATTACTTCTCTTTTGGTCCCCAGTATCTCATCCTTTGGCTCTGGCTGTCAATGCCTTTAGCCAGGATTGGTCCCACAAATTCCTCTATGTTTATCGTCCTATCTGATTATTTCATTGGATGGTCTCTCTCTCATCCATACCACTTTGTTTTGGGTCCTTCTGATTGTTCCTTATTGGCCAGCTCAACTGTGGATTCCATGATTACAACAACTGCAACTTTTCCCCCCTGTACCCCTCCCCTTGGCTCCCTCCGTTCCTCATCAACCTTAGTCAACCGTACACCATCCATCCATTCATGTCCTTCAACCTCATGCCTGACTTTTATCTGGTCCTTGGTGACGAGATCTGGTTTCTCCCATTCATTAGCTTTCCTTTTGCCTCATTCCATATGTCCTTATTCAATGGAAGTGTATCAGCACCAAAGGAATGTGTTCCACAGTTGGTCTGCACTTCGGGTATTCCCCATGGATCTACCAGCTGTGGTCATGTGGATGAGTTTCTCACATGGCTTTTTGACTGGGGTTGTCAGTCTCCTCACTCATGGGTATTGCGCTGCTTTATCATATACCTTTCATTTTTCCAGATGCCATCAAGTTTTTGCTTCCCCTGTCTTTACTATGTTACTTTGTTCTTTCCAGATTCATCGTACCCCCAGATGGCCTAATCTTCCAGACTGGGATATTAATGTGGTCCTCCATTCTCTTCTGAGCCTGTAGATGCTGAGGGTTTGATTTGCTTGCCATTGACGTTTCACTTATACTTTACCACCCTACTTATCTTCTCCTTTATCTGGATCATTCCTTCCTTTCTAAAACCTCAGCAGTTAGAGAGGGAAACTCCTCCTTTTTGCCTGTTTTCTTTCTTTCTATTTTTCATCTCTACCCTCATCCCGATCTGGATAGACTTCTATATCCAGTATATACCCTTTGTTGCTATCTTGTCAGCACAGCTTCCTTCTGTGGTACCCATTCCAAACTCTTTTATTCTTTGACAGTCTTTTTCTGTTCATGTTCTTTCCCCTTCTACCCTCACCAATTGGGTTAGATTTTTGATTCAATTGGCATTTTCCTCCTTCTCTTCTCACTGAAATTTGTTCAGGGTGTCTTCTCATCAGATTCAACACCATCTTTTCCCTCACATCTCGTCTTTGTCAGCCTTTGGAGGATATCCTACATTCAGGCTTGTGGACTGCACCTAATATGTTCATCTCTCATTATTTATATCATATCACAGTTTCTTCTTCATCTAGTTTTTGCCTGCCACCTGTGGCCATTTTTCAAACTTCAGTGTGACTTTGACTGGGTACATTTATATTCATGCTTTCTTTTCCTTTCAGGGGTCCTTGCTTCATTTTATTCATTATATGGATCCTGCTATGTCGCAAGTAGTGCCTGACTTGGTATTCTTCAATTTGAAATCTGCACTGTACAGCCATCTTGACTTGTGCTTTATATTCCATGGCTTCACAATGCTTAATGTTGAGATGAGGTGTTCCACAAGATTGCTTGTAGGCGAATAACCTCATGATGTCATTGCTTCATAAAGTTGCCTGTTCCATACTGTACCACCTATGGACTGCATGGGTAAAGCAGAAGGAGATAGCTGCTCATTCCTTCCATGCCATGTATTGAATAAATTGGTATGGTCTGCTTTTCAAAATAGGGTTTTGTGGTCACTCAGTGCACTGTTTCAGGTGATGACATTCCTCCAGACTCTCCAATGGGTTCTCACCCCCAGTTTCCTTCAAGTGGAGTACGAGAATCTTTACCAATTTACACTTCCAAGCCACTGGGGTGATAGACCATGGAGGCACCCTCCTGAATGGGTTCCACACAAAGATCGCTAAAACCATTCAGTGCAGAGTAGGGTAGTGTTGTTCTGTGGGTGTAGGTGATGTGATATCCTCCAATATGCATTATACAAGCACAAAGGAGTGAGACGTCAAATTGCAGTTCACCCCTTCCATCGGGAGCCCTCATCCTACTCCCATGTGATGTCAATACTCCGTGACTGGGTTTTGGATTTAGAGTAGAACCAATCAACATAAGTCCTCTCACATGTTTATAGTTGTCTATATTCCTCCTTCTATCATACTCCTTCTGTGCTGTGGGCCACAGTGGAGGTAAGGAGGATTGTTCTGTCCTTTTTGCTATCCCTCATAGTATCTTATGCCAAGGATGTTATTGCTTTTTGGATGGTTCCAGTCAGTTTCACTGTTGGGGGAATTGGTTTACTTTCAATACCAGATGTCAGGTCCCTGGATCAATAGATCAAAGATATTACATGTGTCATGCTCAGGAGTCGCAGTGGTTCTAGATTCCTTCCGGTCTCTTGAATTTCAGGTGAAGACGGTATGATCCTCATCCTACCCCTGTGTGGATGTCGGTTCCCAGCCATATGGATTTTGGATGTTGTTGACTTACTCAGTATAGTCCATCATGCTCTAGCCACTCTACACCTAGGGGCACATCCATTGATTTACCCACTTTTCTATTTTGTGAGATTAGGTTACATATACATTTCATGGTTGAGATCACTATCCTGTCACAGATTCTCTCCCACTTGGATGTGCTCCTCTCTTTTTCCGCCCTTATCAACTACACATTTCATGGTTGGGTGAAGAGTATACCTGGTTCAGAAATGGTGTGGTTCCTCTCATCAAATCTTTGGACCTGACTTTCTCATTTTCAGGGATATCCTTCGGATGCTTTTGGAGGTTACTTCTTTCATTCCCTCACACCAGTCCCACCTCCTATTCAATGTGGGATTCTAGCTAATCTTGTGAGTGAAGGGAAGTACTTTATTGGAAGTTAAAATTTTCGTATACTGAAAATGTATTTCTGATAGGTACTTCCCTCCGTTCACACTTCCCACCCTTCCTTCCCAGTTTCCTCTGGTGCTTACGTCTTCTGCCAAACTTCAAAGCAATAGTTCAGTAGAAGCGTATAGAGGGAGTCACATATGTCCTGTGAGTATGCCGTGCTCCTATTGGTGGAGAAGTGACACATGATGATTTACATGAGAGACATGTTGGAATCAATCGATTCGAATAGGGGGGGAGTGGAAGGCTTGTGGCATGCGTAAAGAAAAAAGTTTGCATATAGAGGGCAGCACTAAATGAGGATAGCTAATCTTGTGAGTGGAGGGAAGTACCTATCGGAAATACATTTTCAGTATAAGAAAATTATAACTTCAACACATGGTCCATTTTATGCAACACTTCCTCAGTATTTTAATTTTAATAACTTGATGGCAAATTTATTTCTAACTAGGTAAATGATCAGTACAAAATATGAATAACAGTGGTCCAGAAACAAGTAAGAAACTTCACCTTTTTCAATAGTAAAAGCACTACATAAAATATTAATTGACTATGAAATTTAAGGTAAATATTTGTAATTTTGGAATTTTTGTGAATTAAGTATCATGCTTTATTATCAGTTTTCTTTAAAGTAGTATATTTTGAATGGTAAAATAAATTATTCTATTGATCATTTTGATTCTAGATGTAATGTTGGAATTACCGTGGAAAGAAATTTGCAAGTGAAATTAGATGATGGAGAAGAGTGGGCCAACTGATAATTTCCAAAGAAGAGTAGTTAAAACACAAAATAAGAAAGAAGACAAATTCAAGAAAAATGTTGCACGTAATTCAGTAAGAAGTTCTAGGGTGGCTGTTGTTGACAGTGGAGAAGTGAAATCAGAAAAAAGTATTGGAAACAGTTCTTTATCAACAAAAGCATCTAGTTGTAGAAAAAAAATCATCAAAGAATATAATGCAAACCAAAGTCACCATTCAAAAATTTCAGGAAAAAATCATATGTTACCATACTCTGAGAAAGACCAGTTACATTTGTCACACTCTTCAGTAGCCAAAGGTATTTGTCATTCCATTGAAGATAGTTTACACAAGAAGGAGACAAAAAGTGCATCTATTATTGATGATTCACAACAGAATATATGCCTTCATAAAAGTAAAGATGAGCAAAAGTTGGAACACACCTGTTTAGATGAAGAGTCTGAGAAAAGTAATCATGGACATGTAATTCCAAGAACTTCTTTTTGTTCAGATGAAGAAAAATGTTTATCTACTAGAAAAAATGTTAGCAATTTACTAGAAATGACCTGTCATTCTAAAGATGAAGCTATATTTGTTAACACTGATTTCATAATAGAAAAGTTAAAATCTGATTGCTTATCTGATGACACTAGCTCTTGTTTGAGTAATGATTCATGTAGTGAAAACTGTAAAATAAATCCAGATCAGAAAAATAAGTTAGTTGTTTCAGAGTGTGGAAGAATGCCTGATGGAAATGAGACTGTCCTTTCAAGATGTGATAGTATAGAACACCTTGAAAATGGAATGAAATTGTCAGTCTGTACTGATATGGAAACCACTAATGACATCTCAACAAAAGAGGCATTATCAGGTGATTTGGTGTATGTAAATAATTTTGATAATATTCACAGTCATTCTTTCAATCTTCCTGTTTATAATGTTAAACATGTACCTAGCTCTACAAACATTTCCAAAATGGAAGAAAATGAAAACAAAAACTTATGTTTCACATCTGGGAAAATAAATCAAAATTTGATTAAGAATTATATTGAAGTAGAGGACAATGTTGGATGGCAGAGCTGTGTGGAGACTGCTCAAAATGAAGAAATGATCAAAAATGTTCTGAAGCAAGTGAGTCGACGACTAAGTCAGGTGTGTCAGAGTGACCTACAGCAGTTCACTGTGACAGACTCAAGTACTTCTCAATCTGATAAGACACTACCTCATATCAATCCCTCAGATTCTCAGGAGACAGACTGTGCCTTGGAATCTCATACTTACTCATCAAAACCAGGATCAGCCAGTAGCCTCCTAGACCTGGCCAAAAAGTACAGTTCCAAAGATTATAACAGCAGAAAAGCAAGTAGTGGCAATACCAGTCTTGTCAGTGATTCTTCTCACTCTTATTTGGCGAAGCAAAACAATGTAGAAGAAGACCTCAATTCAAGCAAAAAGCCACTGAAGTTGGAACCTCTTTCAATTGATAAACCACTGATTTCCAAGTCATTGGAATCCCTAAATTCTGTACTTGACTCTCCAGAATTACATAGGTCACATTCAGCAACTCAGTCTGTTATGTCTAGTGTTGAAGGTGTCCTGCCACTTATATCAGTTTGTGAAGCAAGAAGCAGGTAAAAGTAAACTTTTTAAAGTTTTTTAATTGTTAGGAAAAGGAAACATCTATGTATATTGCACATGTGTTTTTACATTATTTATTTACTTTTCCAAGCACTACAAAACTCATGTGTAACCTGCCTGCAGAATTGATCATTAATGAAGGTTTAAAATCATTTTTTAAAACATACCAGTAATAACTTCATGTGTGTGCATAGGAAATTGAATGAAACTTCCAGAACAATATTAATGTGTTTTTTCATGAAAAGATTGGTATTTTTATTAAAACCAGCATCAAGTATGGGCATCCATAGGATATGTTACAAGACGACAAAATGATATCAAAGCTATAACTAGGGAAATACAAAATTTTTTTCTTTTATGTAATCCTTTAAATTTTGGTTAGATAATCCAGGGGGGCAGATGCTCCCTCCTTGCAGATGCCCATGGTATCAAGAGACTTACCAAACCTTATTTTCATAGTACTGTGGGTTTACATTAACAGCTGTTGCCTGAGAAACTTCCTGAGAGGTCTTCAGTTTTTAGTTTGTGAATGTTGCATGAACATATGAGATCACACTTTTGAGCTTGGTAGGTCTATACCAATACTTAAGGTGTCTGTTAAGAACACTTAACACAGCATTATTGGGATTGTGATAAATTCTTGTAGGAAAGGCTTTGTTCTGTTAGATTTGGTCAAAGTGGGTTAACTTGTGATATTGGTTGTTGTGGGTTTTATGTCCTGTAGATGCTGATACTGTAGTGGATGGCATATCTGTTGGTGTTAGTAGTAAACTATGGCAAAATGTAAGTTGACTGTATATATAGTAACTGACAGTACAAATTATGGTTAAGGATTCACAAATTCCAGTGGAAAGGGACTTTTTCCTTTACATTTGCCTGAGATTGCATTATTTTTGTGTAATACAGAATGAGTTGTGTTTGTAGCTTATAAATCGTGGAACAGCAACAGATATCAACTACAGGTACTTGTAGCAGGTCATGATGGTGAAGGTTGGTTATCATATGTGCACCTTTGTTAATCTGGTATATTCTATAAGTATATATAAGTATTTGAGTTGCAATGTTATTGTTTTCCAAAATGATAGGCTTACCTTTCTGCACAAACTAGCTATTCCTTGCACATCTCACTTTGAAAGTTTTTGCATACCACTAGCTTTGAGTTATTTCCTGTCCAGGTGTACTTAAACTAATCAAATCTGCACTGTAAAGCCATGATGACTTCACAATTATAATTTCCATGGCCACTAAATGCACACTGTTAAGATGAAGTGTTCCACAAGATCACTTGTAGATTTTATCTTGCAATATATTTGCTTCATTCATATGGCCATTCCAGACCATGGGCTTCATGGGTAAAGTAGAAGTGGATAAGGATCATGCTCTGTGGTGAGTGGACCTGTCCAGGTGTACTTAAACTAATCAAATCTGCACTGTAAGCCATGATGACTTCACAATTAT